TCTTTAGAGCCTTTAGTTTTTTATGTGAACAGTTACTTAATATTTCTATATTTAATAAATTTGACTTCTTGTGGAAATCATCCCACGTCTTCTTATGCTTTAATAAACATAAGAATATTAGCCGACTATGAAAATACCCTTTTTGGTTGTTTAAAATCTAGTATATGCTCTAAAAGTAGTTACACATGTATTTTGTATATACGCAGAGAAAAACAATTTACTCTCCCAAGGAAATATTCTTAACAATAAATCACCTTAAAGATGAGCATAACAGGATGTTTTTATCATTGTAATAAAAACTTAGGTTTAATGTATTCATTATGCACTTTGTGTAATTTGTTTATGTTTCGTACAAATTACGTCACTGCATGTTATGAAATGTATAATGTATGGAAACTGACCTTTAAGTGCACGAAAAGCGTTTAAAGTGACATGTTGTTGTATTTTATGTGTAAATAAGATAGATATCTACGGTCGAGTGTTTTAAATGCATCCATAGGTTTTAATGTACTAGTAAATACAATTTTTGTACTTATTAGTGGTGGATCCTAGGTAGGGCGTAAAGAGCGTAAACCCCCCATTTTTATCGCAATTTTTTTTTTTAAATGTCATGTTCCTCACGATTTATGTAAAATTTTAGCATAAAATCATCCAAAAATGTGTATCTTCACTTTTCTGGAATTAGGCCCCCACCCACCCCACCCCCGCCTTTTCAAAAATCCTTGACGACCCCTGCTTATAATTTGTATGTTATTCCTGCATGTTTTACAACCACGAATTATAATGGGTTATGCATTTTTTTTTTAAATGTCTTGTTCTAGTAAGTAATTAAGATGTGTCCTTTCGTTGATCTTTAATTTGTCTTTGTTGTCTGAGTGTTGTGTTGTCCAGAAATTGTGTAACTGTGATATTAACCTCCGACTTATTGATCCCATAACACAACAAGCATCGCCCCCTTTCCTATACCTTCCCTCGATATAATGTTTATTCCAATTTTGTAAGGAATACTCAAGTTAATATCCAGAAACCAGTTCTCCACAAACATCACTGTTTATATAGGTTACGGCGACCTTCACTTTTTACCTATTGATCACGTGACACAATCAACAGGCTTCACCTTCTATATTTCCTATTTGTATAAATTTCATTCAAGTCCAATAAGGGATACTGAAGTAAATATCATGACCGTACACCAGATGTGTCTAACAGACGGACGGACAAATCGACAAATATATACAGTCCCGATTTTTCCCGAAAGCATAAACTGACGAAAATACGAACAATATGCAGTACACAAAACTTGCACTACAAATAAAATTGAAGATTGGGCGAACCCAAACAAAAACCTGGGCTGAAATCTAGTGTTGCAGAACCACCAGTTTCTGTTGCACTAGTGACAATCTTCGTGCTGTTAAAAGACATCATACAGTAGCAGATTGGCATTTCTATTGTCGACAGTGCACGTTCCATGACAGGGCTATGACAACCAATTGCCAATTATTCCAATGTGAATCGTATGTGGAGATTTCCCCCTTAATAACAAGTATATTATATATATGTGAATGTGGATGGGTTTTATAGAATAGAGAATAATGTGGTAAAAATAAAGAATAGAGAATAATGGACCAAAAATCAAGAATAGAGAATAATTGGGTGCTAAATATAAAGAAAAGAGAATAATTGACAAAAAAAATTACAGAACTGTAGACTCCAACCCAGACCCTTATATATAAAGAAAATCACGTGTATATAGAATATACCTTGAAGTTTAGTCCATCTCTTATATATAAAGAAAAGCACATGTATATAGAATATACCTTGAAGTTTAGTCCATTTGTTTCTCGTTTTCCTCCTATATTCACATTCGATAAGAATGTTCTACTTTGAAAGACATTTTTGCCTCATTCGTTCGTACGAGAGAAATTATAATTTTGCATAGAATCCACTTCTGCATCACGTTTTAGTTTCGAAGGAGAAGCTGAACATTTTGATTCCACAAAACATTTGGAACAAGTCGTCTGATATCCAAAAAATGATCGTAACAACAATTAGTATGTCATAAAGTAAAATCGGGATTCAGATGCCAAAATGGATATCCAGAATCTTTGGTCTGTTCGAACCCCCTGCGGCATTGAAAAAAATATATTTCTTAAGGTTTTTATTTTTGTTTTTTTTGGGGGGGGGGGGGGAGAGGGGGGTGCAAGTGACATTTCCAAAAATGTTGTTAAACCAATAAATTTACAACTATAACCAACAACTTATAATCACAACGCATGTGTTTCTATTGTTCACGACAAAATCACGTTCGTCATTCATGCTTCAGGTTATATCATCAATTTTATCTAATTCGTTAAACCTCTTTATATATTAAGTAGAACAAAAGGATTTCGATAGTATTTATTACCATTTGTATAACTAAACCGACTAATGCGTCTTAAGATAACCCGGCGGAATTCCTGTCTGACTCTAAAATGTATAAGATAAATAATAAATTACTGTAAATTGTAAGGAAGAATAATTAAGAAGAAATCAAAGACTAGTTGGTTCAGTCGTATTTGTCAACGTCATCCATAATCGTCCCGCCAATCAGAAGTTACGCAGGAAACTCCCTCAAGGAACTTTTATTTCAGGACAGTATAACTCCCTCGGGGAACTTTCTTTTCATGACAGTATAACTCCCTCAAGGAACTTTTATTTCATGACAGTATAACTCCCTCAAGGAACTTTTATTTCATGACAGTATAACTATCTTAAGGAACTTTTCTTTCATGCAGTATAACTTCCTCAAGAAAACAAAATCTGTCTGTTCCGTTTAGTTTTTGGTTTTACACCACCCTGACGATTTATGTATTTCGGTCTCAAGCGCACCTGTTGAAAATCCGGACAGTATGAGTGTCTGATTGGGGGTTTACAGAATAGATATTAATGGGGGGGGGGGGGGGGTAAAGAATATAGAAAAATGGGTAAACAAATCTAGAAAAAAAGAAAAATGGGTTTAGAAAATAAGATTAACAAAGTAATGGACAAAAAACAATAGAAAAGAATAGAAAAACATGGCATTGGTCTAAAAAGTTCAAGACTACTTAATGAAGACCCCCATCAAGACTTTCAGTTATTATTCCCGCTGGTAGTACGTTTATATATAATACACGCTGCTTATGTGTACTGTAAGTTAAAGGGTCTCTCATCCAGCATTAACAATTATTGTTTTTTATTTTTTTTTATTTTCAAAGGTGCAGAGGATACGACGCATAATATATATGATAAGAATATCTAACACTGACCCCGTGGACCAGGTGACCTAAAAATAAAATTACAAAAAGTATCCCGAACATTTACCTACACCGTATGCAATGACTAATGATCACACGAAAATGACAACAAACTCTGGAATGTAATAATACATTATGTACTTGTTGTCGACCTTTATATTAGCATCATCAACCTATAAACAGAAGCTTATAAACAACAAGCATCAATTAGTGTCAGATTTATTTATCAAGTGAATGCATTTAATTTGGCATGCAGTAATAAATTTAAGGTGAAATTGGGCGCAGGACATTTTAGCGAAATATTCAAAACTACTAGGAGACAATTTAGCGCAGACATTAGAGCCCATTTTAGCGCGGGATTAATCCGTTCACCTGTATTTGCGATAGCCCATTTTAGCGCCGGATTAATCCGTTCACCTGTATTTGCGATAGCCCATTTTAGCGCGGGATTAATCCGTTCACCTGTATTTGCGATAGCCCATTTTAGCGCGGGATTAATCCGTTCACCTGTATTTGCGATAGCCCATTTTAGCGCCGGATTAATCCGTTCACCTGTATTTGCGATAGCCCATTTTAGCGAAAACCTACCTTGTTGGATAATAACCATACTCAAACAGTAATTTCTGTTGGCTTTTTTAATGTTTGAGTTAAGTGCATTTACAATTTGATTACAATTAAATGTCGAGGACGTATAACTAACATACGTCCTTGCAAATGTACAGCAGTGTTGTACAATTTGAATAAACATGTTTATGAAATAAATAGGAAATAAAAGTGCAATATGTGATGGATTTTCTGGAAACTATCATCAAATAACAAACAACAACATATATATCAAACTAAAAAGTATCGAATGAATCTGCACTTCAATCTAGACAAGATAAACAGAAGAAATAGTTCTTATTGCAATTGTATGTCCCGGGTTGTATATACAGTATTGTAAAGGGATGATATCAAGAGCCCATAGCGTATATCTTCTGGGATATATATTCCTGTATGGGTATAACGGACTGGGAACACTTGAGTTAACTTTTACACAGTAGTTAGTGGCATATTTTAATCGACGCAGTAGTTTTTATGTTGTGCTGTCTTGGTCCTTTTTATTCTACGTGTACGATCAATTAATTTTTTTCCGGCTAAAATGGGCATTGATAATTTCACTTATCGCTAAAATGGGTTAAAAATCTCGTGCTAAAATGGGTCATACTTCAACGCTAAAATGTTGAATTTTTCTCTCTCGCTTAACAAATGCCCTATCAATGTGCTAAATGTCCTCCTCCGAAATTTATGAAATGATTTTCTGTTTGATGACGCAATTGCGCTCCATAGTTTAGGTTTCATGGTAATTGCCTGTGTGTATTGTCAATGACCTGGTATAAAAGTAGCCACATAAGAGTAAATATTGCATTAACATAACAATGAAATTAAAATCAGGTGTATTGAATTTAAAATATCTAAGCAGTTAAAACTGGTCAGAAGTGGTTTCATTGAGCACTACTTTACTACTTTACTGTTAAAAAAGTTGCAATGTAAATATAGTCCGTTAATTTTATTTATAAAATTATTGTACCTTTCGCCTGAATTAAAATCTAACCTTTGTATATTTTATAGACAAAATAACAATGATAATTATATTGCAAGCAGTAAACATAAAATATGACGTAAACATTGCTTCAAACATGTTTGGCATGCAGCCAAACTGCGTAGGAATATACATATTAACCCCCGCGCCACTAATTTACGTTAGATCAACAAACATAACAGAGAAGTGAACAGTACTTGTGTATCAAAGAATTTCTTCGTTAACCTTCTGAGTCTTTGGTGAAAATATTTATCAGAGGAGATATTAATAAAGCCAGATTACATTCTAAGGAATTTATTTGTCTTTATTTTTCAAAGCGATTATATTTTTCAATCGCAAAAGACGATTTTCTCGGACCATGTTTTAAACAAGCTGGGGTTCGTCCCCGTTCCTAAATAAACCGTATTTAGTTAAAATCGGTCGGGCAACTGTTTCAACAAAACTGATACACAATCTGCTTAAAAACTTTCAGCAATGGAATCCGCATTAACGGTAAGGTTTAAATTTTGTGTATTAATATTGTCGTTGAAAATGGGGGAGAGGTTGGGGACAGGTGAAGCCTTTGTATGATATTTTGTATTTGCTTTGTCTATGACGCCTATTTGTGTCAAGTATGAACAATAAAGAAAGTCTTAAATTGTCCTCAATCTTCACGAATACTTAATTTATTTTTAGGGTCTAGGAAAAACACTGGACATATTTTGTTCTATATACACATTAATCGGCTGTAAACACCATGCAATATTTGTACTTATTGTGTAAGAATATTTCTAATGTTGACGATAAATAATAAGAATCGATGGGTCACACGTTGATTGGTGTTAAGTTTTCCTTGGCACTAGTCCAATAATTCTGACGTCTGTTATTTAGGTTTTTCTGAGACGCCTACCTACGACATTGCAAGGCGGCACATCAAGTGGAGATAACTCTTTGTATTCTTTCCAAGGTGCTATTTGTACAATTTATTACCCTTTAAAACTTTTATGAATCGAGTCTTGAGTACTTACAAAAAAGCATTATTGATTAATTGTATAATATTTATCAGACTAAATATTATTTTTCAGTCACCAGTTGTGAAATCCTTCATGTGTGGAATGTTCAGTGGAACATGTTCAACACTACTGTTCCAGCCATTAGACCTGGTCAAAACCCGTTTACAAGTTTCAGTAAATGTTGGGTAAGATATTAAAATGTCCTTTATATATAATCAGTTGATAACTAGGTTTTAAAAAGTGTACACAAACACCGAAAATATTTAAATAGAATATAATATATGACATGTTTTTAATTGCACCTGTACATGTATATATATTAAATTTTTTTTTATTAAATTTCAAAAATAATTCATGCGCTCACTCCAAAAAATGTGGCAGAATAGTCAACCAGTTGATGGTGGCCTCTTATCGGAAGAAAAAGAAGAATATGAGAAATCAATATTTCAGATAAAAGTCTGCACCAAAACAGTTTCCAACTACTAGTCTGAAGAACCAATATTCCAACATGTTATTATGTGTCTAATCAAAGTTTTGCAAATACTTGTTAGTCCAATTAAAACTTTAACAGCTAGGGTGGCAGACTCAAATATTTATAGAATAGAATGAACAGATGTACTTTGTTTCAAATTTTGAAAACTGTAAATTAAGAAATTATTGCAAAGTTTTTATTAATGTGAATAATGCCAGTGGATGAGTATCGCAGTAATAATAACTCGCAGTCTGATGCATAATATCTGAAATTGTAAAATTTAATCTTTCATCAAAGTCTCTTCTAAAATCACAATAAAAATGATCACCATAATTTCTGAATTTACAGTATACACATTATATTACAATGGTTATCTTTTGGCAAAAAAACAGTTGGAACAGTTTAATTTTACTAATTGTATTGATCCTTTAAAAAAATCTTTAAACATAATTAATTGTTAAAAATTTTGGAAGGAACACAAGTTTTACTTTCAATCATGCACACAAGAAGTACCATATCAATTATTTACAAACTAACAATTTCACCATGGTCACAATTGATTTAATATGATATCAGAAAAAGAACAATTTGTGAACAACTTAGCTCTGACAGAGGAATTGTCAAATTTATGTAACATCTTTTTTGTTACTTCAGATTGTTATGTTAAGATTGATGTAGAAAACCATTTATTATAATTTTATATTAAGAAAAAAAATGTGTTTTTCAGAGGACGAGTAGGAATGGTCACCATCTTTTGCAATGTTGTACAAAAAGACACTATGAGAGGTTTATGGAAAGGTCTTGTTCCTGTAAGTATCATTTATGACTAAATTTTATTTTTTGTTATCTTAAGTCAAATCTTGCACAGTCCAAAATGAAAACTTGTTAAGGGTTGCTCTTTTCCAACTCATTTTTATACGACCGCAAAAAAAATTTGCGGTCGTAAATTGGTATGACGTTGGCGTTGTCATCCGAAGACACATTGGTTTTCGCACTCTAACTTTAGTTTAAGTGAATGGATCTCTATGAAATTTTACCATAAGGTTCAATACTACAAAGGGAAGGTTGGGATTGATTTTGGGGGTTATGGTACCAACAGTTAAGGAATTAGGGGCCAAAAATAAGCATTTTTGTAACTTCCAGACATAACTTGTGTGTTAGTGTATGGATCTCTCTGACATTGTACCACAAGGTTCCATATCACAAAGGGAATGCTGGGATTGATTTTGGGGGTAATTGCCTCAAAATTTTAGGAATTAGGGACGAAAAAAGGGGCAAAAAACAAGCATTTTTCTAGTTTCATGACAATAACTTGTGTGTAAGTGTATGGATCTTTCTGAAATTGAACTACAAGGTTCCATATCACAAAGGGAAAGCTGGAATTGAGTTTGGGGGTAATTGCCTAAACGTTGAGGAATAAGGGGCCAAAAATAAGCATTTTTCTAAGTTTCCAGACAATTACTTGTGTTCAAGTGTATGGATCTCTCTGAAATTGTACTGCAAGGTACCATACTACAAAGGGAAGGCTGGGATTGATTTTGGGGGTAATTGCCTCAAAATTTTAGGAATTAGGGGCAAAAAATTGGGCGCCAAAAAGGGTAAAAAAACAAGCATTTTTCTAGTTTCAGGACAATAACTTGTGTGTAAATGTATGGATCTTTATGAAATTGTACTACAAGGTTCCATATCACAAAGGAAAAGCTGGGTTTGAGTTTGGGGGTAATTGCCCTAAACGTTTAGGAATTTGGGGCCAAAAAGGGGCCTAAAAACAAGCATTTTTCTAGTTTCCAGACAATAACTTGTGTTCAAGTGTATGGATCTCTCTGAAATTGTACTGCAAGGTACCATACCACAAAGGGAAGGCTGGGATTGAGTTTTTTTTTTTTCTTTAAAATTTTCGATTTTAAATTGGTTATTTCTGATTTATATATAAAAGCAAATAATAGTGATATGGTTTGAATAGGTAAATTAAAAAATTTTAAGTTCTTAGACCACATTCATTGTGTGTCAGAAACCTATGCTGTGTCAAATATTTAATCACAATCCAAATTCAGTGCTGTATCAAGCTTGAATGTTGTGTCCATACTTGCCCCAACTGTTCAGGGTTAGACCTCTGCGTTCGTATCAAGCTGCGACCAGCGGAGCATTTTGATATAACCCTGTAAAACATTCTGGATTGGGCAACACGAAACTTGTATTCTGAACATAGTGTTTGATATATATGTAAGTTATGACTGCTGATTCAGTGGTCACTGATTTATCTTTTGTACAAAGAAACACTACCTTAACCTAAATAGTAGTAAAAAATCACATCATCCGTAGTAGTTTTGAATAACATGTCTCATTTACTTTATCGTAGTTAGAAGTAAAAAAATTATCTGTAGTTGTTTAACTATTGAACTAATATTTTCTTTTTCTTCTCTCAGTCCATCTCAAGAGGAGTCCCTGGCATTGCCATCTACTTTTCTGGAATTACAGCCTTAAAAGGAAAATTTGAAGAAAAGGGAAAGAAACCCAACCCTTTGAAATCAGTTTTGATTGGAGCAGTTGCCAGGGCCACCTCAGGAATAACAGTTATGCCTTTTACAGTGTTGAAGACCAGATTTGAGGTAAGAAACATCTTTATGAGCAATGATTTAGAAGTGTAAAAAATTGTAAGTCATTCAATTTATGAAAGGATATATTATGAATTCATTTAAAAAAGTAACCACAAACTTGGTGTCATGTATCCAGTGTTTCAATTTTTTAAGCCCCATCCGTAGCAGAGGGGGCATTAAATTTTACCCTTGTACATCCATCCATACGTCCCCAAATTGGTTTCCGTTCTCTAACTTTAGTTGGTTCAACCAAATGTTATGAATCTTATACACAATGCTTATTGCCACAAAACACTGATCAAGTTTGAATTTCAAAGGCTCCACTTTTACTTTTCTAGAGTTATGCCCCTTTACAAATGGAAAAATTTTTCGTTTCCCTTCTCGAACTTAAATTTGTCTCAACCAAATGTAATGAAACTTATACACAATGCTTATTACCACAAAACTCAGATTAAGTATAAATTTGGGTAGCACCCTGTTCTTGAGTTATGTCCCTTTATAACGTTATATGCAAGCGGGGGCATCATCTGTGTCCCTTGGACACATTCCCCATTTATTAATTGATGATTAACCTTATATATGTTATATTCATAAATCCTAAACAGTGTGCTTTATAAGTAGTATTATTATATGTATTTCAGAGTGGAAAATTTAATTACAGCAGTATGTTTGGTGCTCTTAACAATATTATTAAAACAGAAGGTGTTAAAAGTAAGTATAAAACTACATACAAATGGCCCTATTCGCAAAAAAAGCTTCAATATAAAAAATAAGAAGTGGTATAATTGCCAAATGACATAGAACTTTATTATAACTACAGGTCACCATACTGCCTTCAACAATGAGCAAAACCCATACAGCATAGGCAACGAAATGACAAATATAAAACAATCAAACAAGCCTGATTTATGTACAAAATAATGAACGAAAAACAAATATGATATACAGGAACAAACGAAACCACTGAATTACAGGCTCCAGACGTGGGACAGGCACATATAGAATGTGGTGGGGTTAGATGCCAACTCTCCCCTAACCTGGGACAGTGGTTTAACTGTACAACTTGAGAAAAAACTATAAAAATTAGTTGAAAAGGGCTTAACTCATTGATACAAAATACAAATACATCAAACAAAAACACACCGGATGTTGCAGGGTACTTATACATCCCTACAACAAAATAGACACCAAGTACAGATCTGAGAGTACTGACAGCTATTTCAAATCCAATAACAACTAATAAAAAAATCATGCATCTAAGACTCTAATATCAATCAGTTCACATCCAACATCTAATGGATTTAGTGTAAAGACATCATAAACAGTCAGAGAAAAACATGACCTTGTGCAATGCCAAGATACAGGTGAAGTGGAAATTTGAGAATGAAAATCTGTATAACTGTTATTTTCATAAATCTTCCAAATCCAAAGCCTGTAATTACGGCACAAATCAGTGGAGCAGATTTAAACGCAAACTCAATCTGTAACTCATCATAGTAGACTCGCATACTAAAAATCAGCCTTATATGTGAAGTAATTTAGAAAAAAGTCTATAAAACTATTTGTTGCGGAATAACAGATAAGGGTAAAACTATATGGCCCAACCACTTTGTGCCGTGGCCATAATAAGGTTAAGAGATGAAGATGGGGATTTTGATGTTGACGACTTGGAAATCTTTTTTAGCAATGCAAGTTTATAAAAAAAACACATGTAGAGTATATTTTTGACATTGTTCATGTTGTATAAACATTTAATTTAAATTTTAGATTCACAATTTTCAGACTTTGTATCCATAGTTGATTGCAAGTACATTATTTCTTTATATATGTGAAAAAATAATATTTATTTTGATTTGCATTTTTTTTTCAGCTCTGTTTTCTGGTCTGTCTCCAACACTGGCAAGGGATGTGCCCTTTTCTGGGCTCTACTTCATGTTTTACTCTCAACTAAAGAGTTCAATTAGTGGAAGTAAGTGTAACTAGTTAATGGTTTCTCTACATTAACATAACTTTACCTATATTTGCATAAATTATTCAGGGATGTTTCTTTTAAATGTCTTAAAAAATTGCATCTAATATTGCCATAAAATATTGTTAAGGAATTGTTTAAAAAAAAAATTGCTGTGTTTTTCTTTATATTATAATCTTTTTGAAAAATCCAAAAGTGTTAGGACAAAATTTATAAACCTAAAAGGTCTTGAATGCTTAAATAAGTTTTATGAACTAAAGGTTTCAAAATGTTTCTTCATTGTAATGTATTTAAAGGTCTTGAATGCTTAAATAAGTTTTTATGAACTAAAGGTTTCAAAATGTTGCTTCATTGTAATGTATGATTCTTAATTTTACATATTTTAAAAATAAAATAATTTTTTTTTAAATTATTAAATATTTTGGAAATTTGTCTCTGTTGACCATTTTTCAAATTTAATAAAAATTATAAGATTAAAAATTGTTCTATCTGTTATTTACATTTGCTAAATTTAAAATATCGCAAGAAAATTAACTTTCCACAGGGCTGCCGTTTAATTGGTAGTCAAATAAAACACCTCACTAATTGCCTGTTTTTTTATATGTATTTTATTATAGATTTTCCTCCTACTAGCTGCAGAGTCCAAGAGATGAAAGAGGTAAAAAGTCCGTTTCCATATTAATAGCAGGTAGATTGGTTTGTCTTGCAGTAACTTCTCTTGGACTCCAAATCCATGCTTTTCAGAAAGGGAATTAATCTTAAATATTTTTGTTTGTCTTGCATATTTCAGAGCTCAAGTTTGTGCAACCTTTTTCACTTGATAGACGAAACAAGATGGCATGAATTTTTAGGGTACTGTACAATTCAACAAATATTACTGTTGAAAAGATTAATTGTCTAAATGAAAAATAGTATCATCTTTCTCTTGCAGGAGGTGTTTGTATACTTACTATGTTTGTTTGAAGAATGAGGAACAAAAAAGTCCTATTTTCTTTAAGGAAACAAAGTGAGACTATTTGCATGTTTATTTTATTTGAAAAAAAAAATTAAACGAGTGGATTAGCAAGTCAAGCAACCAATAAAAAAAAGATGGACTTGAAACCGGTTTATAGTGGGAAAAAAAATCACGAAGAGGAAAAGCGACTAACAACCAATAAAAACAAAATATAAAGCCTTCATTCGTGTGTCTACTTAGTTTTTCAGAATATGTCAGATTACTAAGAAAAAGATTTGCACGCTGTCGAAAAATATCTTCGGAACCGTGTTGAGATTTGAAACAAAAAGACGACATTTAGGATAAGCAAGTTCTGCATACTGCAATTGTCTTGTGTAGAAATTTCCAATACCAGAATAAAACTTTGCATTAGAGTGAAAATGCATGTTCTTGATTTAATACACACATATCAAATTGTTTTGTGGAAAGCAGGAATGAAATCGCAAGTTTCAAGATTTTCCTTCCTGTTTTCGTAGCCTTCTGCAAGAAGTATGATCAGTTGAAATCACAGGTTAAGAAATTTTGGTATCTTAACTCTCTTTAAATTTTTCAAAAGCTTAAGAAATAGCATTGTTATTTCTAAGTAAAGAGTAATTTTTAAAATTTTTTTTTTTTTTTAATTTTATCTTATCAGTTGTGTTAAGTTGATTGTCACAGTAACTTGAGAAGATTGTTTTATCTGCAGGTGAAAAAGATTTATTAGAGTTTTGAAATATGTATATATCTATATAATCCCTTTCCTTTTTAGATGAACCAATTTTATTCAAAATATGTCACATTTTGTGGCAGTAAAAAATGAGGAATTAAAATAGCATGCTTTGTTTCATTTAGATTTTGACAGCTTGTCCAGAGATGTCCTGCAAGACAGTCTAGCCTATGGAAAAAACCATGAATTAATTTTGAATATGTGAAAAGAACATTTTGTGATTTTGGAAGCTGTTAGAAGGGGGAATAACTTGAGTAAATTTATATTTGTAATTTTTGGAAGAAAAAAAATCTGGACATGGTTCTTCCAAAGGCTAGTCTTCATGTTTTGAAAATGCATATATGCAAAACTAGCAGATGTATATACCATCATGGAAATTGGGAACAGAAAGCGCTTAGCCCTGGCTTCTGTTTTCTTTTCCAGATATTAAAAATGAGAAATTACTTCCTGCCTATCACTTCATGTCTGGGGTTGCAGCTGGGATGATGGCATCAATGATCACACAACCTGCTGATGTTGTTAAAACTCATATGCAACTAGAGCCACTCAAATACAAGAAGCTAAAACAGACAATCCAAATTATTTATCAGGTAAATATATTTATTAAAAAGAGATAAAAATCAGCTTAAATAACAAAAAAAGTTCAAATTCTGCACTTTAAAATTTATAGAAAGGGGGCATAAAGTTTTACCCTTGTACGTCCTAATGTCCCAAAATTAGTTTCTGTTCTTTAACTTTAGTTTGCCTCAACCAAATGTTATGAAACTTATACACAATGCTTATTACAACTAAACACAGATCAAGTTCGAATGTGGGTGGCGTCACTTTCAACAATTATAAGTTATGTCCCTTTATAAATGGAAAAAATGCTAAAGTCGCCATATCTGCAATCTAACAAGTTTGCCTCAACCAAATATAATGAAACTTGTACACAATGCTTATTTCCACTAAACAGATCAAGTTCGAATTAAGGTGGCATCACTTTCACTGTTCTCGAGTTTTGTCTTTTTATGAATTGAAAAATCGCTGAATTTGCAGTAAGTTCACAACCGGGGCATTTGTTTCCCATGGACTCTTCCTCCTTTTATAGAGAGAGAAGTTCCTATCAAAAACTGATCCGGTCTTAATTGACTAGGATTGTCAGTTTTCCTACGAAGGATGGTGGTTTTCTCTGGGCACTCAGGCTTCCTCCACCAATAAAAACTGGCCGCCACGAAATAGCCCAAAAGCGGTGCTTAAAAGTGGCGTTAAAACACCAAAAATCAATCAATCGAATCATTAGTTATCTCATTGTCAATCACTAAACATCTTATTTTTATTTTGTATACAGCTTTTCCTGAAATTGCAATAATTAATTTCACATTTTTGTCCATTGTTCAACAGTAGCAAATATAACTGCACACAAAAGTTGCAAAATAGTCTTTTAACCATATTTGTACATATTTATACATTCTATTTTAACTGCACTATAAACTGAAGGGTACATGCATTTGTCTTGGCATTTTAACTAGGATCTATTTCATCAAATATAATTACTAAATTGATTGAAATGTAATCTAAAATAATCGATGATCACATGATATTTTTGGCTGTAATCGATTCAATTGTGATTACATGTAATCGAATTTTTTAAAGATTACAGATAATTGTGGATTACTTGGAAAAATGTTATCAATTACAAACAATCCCTGATCAGATTGGAGTACCTAGTTCAGTCTTTCATAAAATTTCTTTAAACATATATGGGAGACCTTTCCAGAAAAATTTACTGGACTGAAGACCTGAGTGTAGCAAATATTGTGAAAATAAAAGTTTTGCCTACATGTATGTTGAATGTCATTGTAAAATATGAATAAACTCTTATTAAATCCTTGTTTTGTTTTGTAGAAGGATGGATTTAATGGTTTCTTACGTGGAATTGTTCCAAGAGCTTTAAGAAGAACTCTTATGGCAGCAATGGCGTGGACAATTTATGAAGAGGCAAGTCATATAATTCTGGATATTTTTTTATGTTTAAAATTGTAGGTTGTTTTTTTTGGCAGCAAAAAAATGATATTTTTCAAAAACTTGAAAAGTATAAACTTGAGTATATGTTAGTAAGACAAATCCCACTGTGTAGCATCACCACCGGATATAGGTAACAAACACTGATAGCAAAAAGTATCTATTCTATTTCCCGTACAGTACAGTAAAATAATATTTGCCGTACAATTTATCCTCTTTACTTACTTGAATTTCTCTGTGAAAGCAGTAGTTATTTCGAAAGACAGTGTTGTTCAAGCTTAAATATGATTTAACTTTGTTCTTCCAAAACGTCTGATCAATTGTGTTTTAACAAGTTTGAACTCGTCACATGCTTCTTTGAACAGGTTTTTCCAGTTCTGATTCTGACAATTTGAAGAGAGAGAAAGCCAACAAAGGATCATTATATGCCCTAAATATTAGCTTCATTATTAAGAATTGGTATCACAAAACTTGACTTGTCAGCAAATTGTACAATATAATGAAAAAAAGAAGTTTGACCTTACCTGACTTCACTTTGGTTTTTTCCAAAACTTCAGGTGTATCTATATCCGATGTTGATGCTACACAGTGAATCCTCATTTCAAGATTTTTAGGAAAAGAGTTCAATGAAAATTTCTTTCACTTTTCAATGGTATTTTTTGACATGCTGTTATTGTAAAATGAGGAATAGGTTTCATGTGCATTCGAAACAATTTTCTCTCTTTGTAATGCATGTTAATTTTCTAGAATTGAAAGCTTCTATTTGTAATTATTTTTGGGTGTACAAGTGGAACAAAAGCATAAAAATGCGTGTGAAACTTTTAACGCCCTTAATTTTGTAAAGGAAGCATTTACTTTTTATAGTAGTACCAGGAAATCGTAAGTCAAATCAAGGTTTTTGTTCTAAATATTCCTACATATTCTTAAGGAGATCACTTACAGTCATTGATGTTGCAATGTATTGGTATATAAAACACTACATGATTGTTGTCTACCAATCAGAATGATGGAATCTTTCTTAAACTGATATGGAGTGTGTATTTTTTAAAATCTTTGCAAGTATTATACCGTAGAAAGGCTTGTATAGTCCGCGGTTTTATTCTCCAAAATTGGACCTTCCAGACGGGGTGCGGACTATAGAGTACAATAAGCAAGAAATAAGAGAAAAATTTCAATTTCGCGGTCGAGGTGGTTTGTTTACGTTCCGCCATCTTTGTTATTTCTATTGTAGAGGGCGCTCATCATTTTTCAAACTAATAATTTTAACTCATCCATATTAATAAGTTATTTCTATTCAATATCAAATTAATACTGATAAATATAAAAACTAAACCTTTCATTACAAATTTCTTGTTTCTTTTCAATGCATTGGTTGAAATAAACTGGTATCTGCTCGATTGAAACGATACAAACATAGTGAAAAAGACAACCGTAAACCAGCTTAGAATTTGTAAACTACAAAACGAAATCGGTTATTGTTCGTTCCGTTTTGGTGTTTCATACTGACTAATATGGTTTGTATTAGCTTAAGACCCTTCAAACATTAATGTGATAGATATATTAAAGACTGTTTTACAAAAGGATGGAACTGTTTTACTTTCAAAGTCGTATTATAGTGATATCTGTTATGTACGGATTTCGACTCTCACCGGTTAATTTCTTCTTTTACACGTGCTTTTTAAACTTCCTGTTTAAACATACACAAGTTTCTAAATTGTTTTTTAAGTGAATTAAACTTATTTCAACAATCATGAAGCGTTCTAGAATCATTAACAAGCAGTTTCAGCTTCTGTTTGATGATGGAAAACAGGTTTTTCCAAGAAAATACCGCAAACGACCGCACAGGATTTGAAATTACCGGAGTTTCATTAGACCTTTTCTAACAGTTACAAAAAGTTTTTTTACCTAAAATTTCGTGGGGAGAAGGGGGTGCGGACTATGTACCACTGCGAACTATACAAGCCTTTCTACGGTATATGTAGATAAATTAATTGTTTTTGCTATTTATTTAAGGTTTCAAAGACATGTGGATTGAAATAAGAAAGAAGGCTAGAGAATATGGAAGTCCAGTTCATACAGGAACTGCATCAACTCAGGGAACTGCTGCTATCTGGTTTATGAATGAGGAGTATTTTAAAGACAGACATGTTCATTTTAACTAGTGCCAATTGTTGCTACTGAGCATTTTTGACTGTGAAAATGTAGTGGAATTTGTTGTAAATCTGTCTGGGGATTTAATAAAAATTTCTTTCTATAAAGGTTGCAGCATTTTTGCTTCCTTTTAATATTTTATATTTCATGCTGTCCTCTTGGTATAAACAAATATTGTTTATATGCAAATTATACAGTGGTATGATGTATTTATTTGAACAATTGATATGAAGGCTATGAGAGACATTAAGAAATAGTTGTGCACCATATGCCCAGTCATGACATGTATTGTAAGCTAAAATTTGAATGCATGGTTCAACTGGATCATGCTTATATAAAACTCTAATGATGGAGAGTGGTTTTTAGAGAAAATGATTGAAAATATTGTACAATAGTGTGTCAAATTTTAATATTTGTCAGATTTGTAAAGTTGATAGTTATTGTTAATACTTGTATGTTTAATTACATGTAAGATATGTCATATTGCTCATTTCAATGAAATGTTTATTTATTTATGCAACTACTTTTCATTTGATAATCATTGATCAACAGAAAACCAGAGATCTTTCAGTTGAATAAAAATATTTTATACATGTATGTGTTTATATAATGTTAATACAGGAAGGCATTGGACAGTATTTTAGGAAGGCAGGATTTAAAAATTTTGTTTTTAGTCCCCTACCGACATAGTCGAAGGGGACTTTAGGTTTGCACTCCATCTGTCTGTCTGTCCATCCGTCAGTTTGTCAAATTGTTTTCCATACTTTTTATGCCCCCACCGTAGCGGAGGGGGCATTAAGTTTTACCCTTGTCCGTCTGTATGTCTGTCCATACGTCCCAAAGTTGGTTCCGTTCTCTAACTTGTACAAAATGCTTATTACCACAAAACACAGATCAAGTTTGAATTTTGGTGGCGTCACTAAAACAGTTCTAGAGTTATGCCCCTTTACAAATAGAAAAAATTGCTGAATATTTTTATTCGTTTCCGTTTTCTAACTTTAGTTGTCTGAACCAAATGTTATGAAACGTATACACACTGTTATTACAACATAGTACAGATGAAGTATGAAATAGGGTGGCATCATTTGTAACTGTCTTTAGTTATGCCCCTTTATAAACATAAAAATTGCTGAATTTTCTGTTTCCGTTCTCTAACTTTAGTTTGCCTCAACCAAATGTTATGAAACTTGTACACAATGCTAATTAGCACAAAATACAGATCAAGTTTGAATTTTGGTGGTGTCACTTTTACCGTTCTAGAGTTATGCCTGTTTACAAATGGAAAAATTGCTGAATTTTTCGTTTCTGTTCTCTAACTTAACTTAGTTTCAACCAAATGTTATGAGACTTGTACACAATACTTAATACCACAAAACTCAGATCAAGTACAAATTTGGGTAGTGTCACTTTTACTGTTCATTAGTAATGTCATTTTAAAATTTTATATGATATGCAACCGGGAACATCATCTGTCCCATGGACACATTCCCCATTTATTTTATTCGTGCTTGAAGATATTGATTTGATATTTTGTATATTGTTTTATCATGACAAGTTACAGATCAAGTTCAATTTTTGTTCCGGTCTGATGATTTTGTGCTGAGTTATGGTCCTTGGACTTAGAAAATTCACTCAAATAATCAGTTTTCCACATTTTTTTTATGTCCCCGCCGTAGCGGTGGGGTCATTAAGTTTTACCCTTGTCTGTCTGTACGTACGTACGTATGTCCGTCTGTACGTCCCGAAATTGGTTTCCGTTCTCTAACTTGAGTTTGCCTCAACCAAATGTTATGAAACTTATACACAATGCTTATTACCACAAAACACAGATCAGGTTTGAATTTTGGTGGCGTCACTTTAACCGTTCTAGAGTTATCCCCCTTTATAAATGGAAAAATTGTAAAATTTTTAGTTTCCGTTCTCTAACTTGAGTTTGCCTCAACCAAATGATATGAAACTTATACACAATGCTGATTACCACAAAACACAGATCAAGTTTGTATTTTGGTGGTGTCACTTTAACAGTTCTAGAGTTATGGCCCTTTATAAATGGAAAAATTGTAAAATTTTTAGTTTCTGTTCTCTAACTTAAGTTTGCCTCAACCAAATGTTATGAATCTTATATACAATGCTTATAACCCCAAAACACAGATCAAGTTTGAATTTTGGTGGCGTCACTTCAACTGTTCTAGAGTTATGCCCCTTTATAAAAGGAAAAATTGCAAAATTTTTAGTTTCCGTTCTTTTACTTAAGTTTGCCTCAACCAAATGTTATGAAACTTATGTACAATGCTTATTACCACAAAACACAGATCAAGTTTGAATTTTGGTGGCGACACTTTAACTGTTCTAGAGTTATGTCCCTTTATAAATGGAAAAATTGCAAAATTTTTATTTTCTTCTTAATATCAAGTTATTTTTAAAATTGGAGTTATCTTCCTTTGTCCATGATTATAGTTGAATCAACTACAATCAATGTTTTATACAATGCAATGTTTAATTTTGACTTCCACTGATAAAACACAGATCTAGTTGAATTTGGGTAGTGTCACTTTAACCATTATTGAGTTATGCCCCTTTATAAATCGAAAGATTGCAAAATTTTTAGTTTCCATTCTGTAACTGAAGTTTGTCCCAACCAAACATTATGAAACCTATACACAATATTCATTACCACAAAACTAAGATCAAGTACAAATTTTTTGTTTCCGTTTTCTTATTTTAGTTTGCCTCAACCAAATGTTATGAAACTTATACACAATGCATATTACCACATAATACAGACTTAGTACGAAATGAATCCGGGTCCGTTCGCGCCCATTCACGTTCGCCCCCATGCACGTTCGCCCCCTTTCACTTTCGCACCCTACACGTTCGCACCCAAAGTCCGTTCGCACCCTACACGTTCGCGCCCAATTTTTATTGGTTTTGTGTTTAATAATTTGTAAACGAGTTTTGGTAAGTGTATTGCTATAAATATATATTTTTTCATTGTTTCTAAATAAAGTGAGATTCTGACAAGGTTTTTTTTGTGTCATGGTAAATGGTAAATGTATTGCTATTAACATTTTTTGTTCATTGTTTTTAAATTAAGTGAGATTCTGACGACCAGTATTTTAGTTTTGTGTTGAATAATTTTTAATCATGTTTAGGTAAGTGTATTGCTCTATATATATCTATATATATACAAGTCTAAATTGAAAACAACGTTCAAACCTATGATTGCGTTGGATAAAAACCGCAATTTTTATACGTGTGCATGTAAAACAAATATATATATATATATATATATAAATTATTTTTTTTCATTGTTTCTAAATAAAGTGAGATTCTGACAACGTTTTTTTAGGTGTTGATAAAATCTTAATCATGTTTTGGTTAGTGTATTGCTATAAATATTTCTTTTTTATACGACCGCAAAAATTAAAAATTTTTTGGTCGTATATTGGTATGACGTTGGCGTCGTCGTCGTCGTCGTCGTCGTCGTCGTCGTCGTCGTCGTCGTCGTCCGGCGTCGTCTGGCGTCGTCCGAAGACACATTGGTTTTCGCACTCTAACTTTAGTTTAAGTGAATGGATCTCCATGAAATTTCACCATAAGGTTCAATACCACTAAAGGAAGGTTGGGATTGATTTTGGGGGTTATGGTACCAACAGTTAAGGAATTAGGGGCCAAAAAGGGGCCAAAAATAAGCATTTTTGTAACTTTCAGACAATAACTTGTGTGTAAGTGTATGGATCTCTCTGACATTGTACCACAAGGTTCCATATCACAAAGGGAAGGCTGTAATTGATTTTGGGGGTAATTGCCTCAAAATTTTAGGAATTAGGGGCCAAAAAAGGGGCAAAAAACAAGCATTTTTCTAGTTTCATGACAATAACTTGTGTGTAAGTGTTTGGATATTTCTGAAATTGTACTACAAGGTTCCATATCACAAAGGGAAAGCTGGAATTGAGTTTGGGGGTAATTGCCCGAAACGTTTAGGAATTGGGGGCCAAAAAGGGGCCAAAAATAAGCATTTTTCTAGTTTCCAGACAATAACTTGTGTTCAAGTGTATGGATCTCTCTGAAATTGTACTGCAAGGTACCATACCACAAAGGGAAGGCTGGGATTGAGTTTGGGGGTGATGAATCATAAGGGGGTTCAAAAAATTTTGGGGGGGGGATTTTTTTTTTTTTTTTTTTTCTTTTTTTCCTTTTTTTTTTCTTTTAAAAATTTTCCATTTTAAGTTGGTTATTTCTGATTTATATTTAAAATCAAATAATAATGATATGGTAGGAGATATACACCAAACAGGATGTGTAAATTATTATATAATAAGTATTGTGCAATAGCAAGAAATTTTCAATTGCACAGTATTGCACAATAGCAAGAAATCTTCAATTGCGCAGTATTGCGCAATAGCAAGAAATCTTCAATTGCACAGTATTGCGCAATAGCAAGAAATATCCAATAGCACAATATTGCGCAATAGCAAGAAATTGTCAATTGTACAGTATTGCGCAATAGCAAGAAATTGTCAATTGTACAGTATTGCGCAATAGCAAGAAATATTCAATTGCACAGTATTGTGCAAAAGAAGATACTTCGTATAAATTGCTTATTTCTTGATCAATTTCAATGGGGTTTTATTCTTGAATTCTTGGGGTTCTTTAATATGCTGAATCTAACCGTGTATTAAGTTTTTGGATTTTGGGCCCCGTTTTTAAATTGGTCCACATTGAGGTCCAAAGGGTCCAAAATTTAACTTTGTTTGATTTCATCAAAAATTGAATTATTGGGGTTCTTTGATATGCCGAATCTAACCGTGTATATAGATTTTTAATTTTGGTCCCGTTTTTTAAATTGGTCTACATTAAGGTCCAAAGGGTCAAAATTAAACTTAGTTTGATTTTAACAAAAAATGAATTCTTGGGGTTCTTTGATATGCTGAATCTAAACATGTGTTTAGATTTTTGATTATGAGCCCAGTTTTCAAGTTGGTCCAAGTTGGGGTCCAAAATTAAACTTTGTTTGATTTCAACAAAAATTGAATATATGGGGTTCTTTGATATGCTGAATCTTACCATGTATTTAGATTTTTTATTTGTGGGCCCGCTATCAAATTGGTTCATATTGAGGTCAAAAGGGTCCAAAATTAAACTTTGTTTGATTTCATCAAAAATTGAATTATTGGGGTTCTTTGATATGCCAAATCTAACCGTGTATTTAGATTTTTAATTTTGGGTCCTGTTTTTTAAATTGGTCTACATTAAGGTCCAAAAGGTCCAAAATTAAACTTAGTTTGATTTTAACAAAAATTGAATTTTTGGGGTTCTTTGATATGCTGAATCTAAACATGTGTTTAGATTTTTTATTATGGGACCAGTTTTCAAGTTTGTCCAAGTTGGGGTCCAAAATTAAACTTTGTTTGATTTCAACAAAAATTGAATATATGGGGTTCTTTGATATGCTGAATCTAAACATGTATTTAGATTTTAGATTTTTGGCCCAGTTTTCAAGTTGGTCCAAATTGGGGTCCAAAATTAAACTTTGTTTGATTTCAACAAAAATTGAATATATGGGGTTCTTTGATATGCTGAATCTTACCAT